ATTTATTATCAATCTCCTTTTTAGACACTATTGCAGTGAGAAATGATTAAGTCATAATTTAAGTATACTTTCAAATCCATATATAGTTACGCACTTAAATGGTCTTAAACCTCGCCCAAGGCAAAGATTACGGGATGCACCGAGCTCTTCAACCACGGTGGTATTCGATTTGATGTCTGTGGTAACTTGACAAGAAAATGACGAGAAAGTTCTTAATTTTGTTAGCTGTCAAAATGTTAGAAAATTATGATATATTGTAAAAATATCTTTTATGGTCACGGTACAACTATCAAAGTAATATTTCAGAACCCTTTACTATCCCTGATTTCACCTTTATAACCACTTCTTTACTTTATGGATGATCCAAAAATATTTGTTATTTCTATAAGACAAACATAACTACCTAGTAATAACTTTATTCTAAGCCCATCTCCTAGCTCTACGTACACAGTAGATTAAAGAAATGTTACTTTTATTATTTTTATAACAATTTATGTATTACGCAAAAAAAATTATGTGTTGTATGAATGAACAACAATGAATGAAAATAACAACTTAACATTAACGGTTTAAAATGCTTGCTGATGCTTTGCAGCAGCCATGGTCACGGGGAGACGTCGGGCCGAAGTTAAAAATCATTTTCAAATAATTTTAAACCGTTAAAGTGTTTTATTTTAATGTGTACTACTCGCGTAAACTATAGACAGTAGTTGACAATGAATGAATTTTGTCCATCTATGCCGAGACACATTCCCTTTGAAGAGCTAAGCAACTAGCATCAGATTTTATCACATGTTATGACAAGAGTCGAGACAACGATAAATAAACATGTACAAAACTCGGGTTATCATTAACAAACAATTGAATTGCAGCCAGCGTCCCGTCTCTTGTATGCAATTATGCAACCGGGAACGACATATTTAAGTCGCTCTAATCTTAGGGCATAGGGTGTGCTTTTAGTTTTATAGATTGACTTCTACCTGTGACGGTACAGATATTTATTCAATAATATGATTATTAATAAGTTCTTATATATAAAACACATTAAAAGGACAGGGCAATATACATATTATTAATCGTAAAATTGACATACGTAAAAATATTGCTGTTAGTTTCAACTTCTTAATATCGTCTGGCCGTTTCCAATAAAAAGTAAAAACAGTAATACGATATTAAATAAAATCATCAGGCCGTCTTGTTTCGCCTTGACAATTCCTGTTAAACAGGTATTTTGGATGTCACGAGCGATATGCGATTTTGGTGAAACAAGTAGTGGTGATATCACTATTTATTTAATTACTAATAGAAACGAGAAAGGCTTGAATCATATCGTAATGGCAGAGAGACGAGCCGTGTCGCCTGAGGTCAAGTCAAGTCAGGTTCAACGGCTGGTAATGTGGTGTCGTTTATGTCCTGTGTTACTAACCTCTTAAAATATAAATATTCCAAAAGATAATGAAAGAAATGACCCCGAGCCTTTGTCTGCAACAAAGTTGGTACTGGGTTTTTTTGCCTTTTCAAAACGTATTATACCGAGTTCGAAATTCGAATGCATTCTTATGGGTATTAAGAACTTGGTAACAAAGTAGTTTGTCTTTTTACCTTTATCACAAAATTTATTTTTCAGTAACAATGATACGACTAGAATTTGAAACTCGATGTTAAATTCAATTCTACTGATATGTTAGATTACTATGTTTAAAGCATTTCATATTAAATTAAACCCTTGAAATATTCGAAACGCCTAGTCATGGTTTAAAATTCTTTATCCTCTCATTATACAATTTAAATTGGTTTAACCAACCGTGTTTATTTTCTTGTTATCTGCAGACAATAATTCGTATTTTAAATACTAACTTTCAGTATTGCTACTTTTCAAAATAGAAAAACATTTGTGCTAAAATTACCACTTCATATTGTAGAAATCTACAGTCGCACCTAAGCCGTAAACTTTACAATACATATAATAAATGAGGAATGCTCGCGAACCGGCTTCGTGACGACATTATCTTAATTTCAACATTAGCATGATGATTACGTCTGAGCACTAGTATTATTTAGGGTTCATTTCGACGAGCTAGATTTATAATCAGCAGAAATTAAAGAAATTTCGAATGAATCTCACCTCCTATGTATCCTCGTGTTAATGTATGTGCCAAAAAAATGTTAATCTTAAAAGATAGACCTTACTTTCGCGGACATTTTTTTTACATCACTTAAAGAGGAATCATTCTTTCGTATATATTTTTGGATATGTTTAACCGTTTTTACAGTGTACACAGAGCGATGTTTTATAGGCTTTGAGCCTTTCTCGATAAATGCTTTAACGAACACAAAAAAGAAAGTTCAATTCCCACCAGTAGTTCCTGAGATTAGCACGTTCATACATACAAACAAACTCTTCAGCTTTATATATTAGTATAGATATCCTGGTCCTAACTGCATGCGTTACCTATCCATATAAACTAAAAAGTACAATGTAAAACTATTATCTTGATCGTAAGGCAAAGGTTACGAAATGTGAATGCCTAGTACTTTCTCTTGTCTCACTGACGTATATGTAGGGAGTATGGAGGTTAAGATAACAATGTTACATTTTACACAAATATTGGGGCCCACGATTTATTTGCTTTCAGGATATACCCATTTCCCACTTCTACTTTCCAACTCCGACCCTTCTTTATTTATGTGTTAACTTTTCATAGATTATATTACCCCAATAGTACTTTAAATTGTATGTGTATAATACTAAAGGCATTACCCCAACTACCCACTATTACTGGTAAAAACAATTAGTACCTATTATTGGTTATACGAGTATATGGTGCACACTTATTCCACGATACCACAATCACATATTACATATTTAAACACCATCTCGCATTAAAGATGAAAATGCATTGGAGGGTACATACAAAAAGTTTTGTAAGGAACATCTCATCAAAACAAACATTCCACATCTCTGTAGGATCTTAAGACTAATTTTATAAACTTATAAAGAACATGAAAAGTTACTATGGTCCTAATCTTGTATGTCGAACTATTTAAAAAATCTGTCACTTGTATATGTCAATCGTAAACCAGAAGTGATTAAACCACACTTTGACCCAACGTTCCTAATTGATATTAACTGCTTTATGTCCATATTAATATTAGGGACAAGCATTCGAGCCAGTTGTATATTTAAAAGCTATTTAAACGTTCTAGAGATATATCATTTAGATAAAAGATTAATAAAAAACACTATGTATTTGTTTATGTGGTAGGGAAGCAATGTTTGAGTCTCGGAAGACGTGTTGGGAAGCATGTTTGCGATGAGCAAATACAAAGCTCTTGTCACAGCCGGGAGCTACCACTTGTAACGTGTTTGTCTACGTTGATACGCATACCACCGAATTTAATAACAACCCCAAAAAGAATGTTCTTTTCATATCCAACGTATGCTCAAGTGAGTATTGATATAAGATAATATGTGGCCGCTAGAGGCAGAGTAGCCTAAGTGCAAAATTATGACTTGAACTATTTGTAATGTTTTCCCAGTATCAGTGTTCAAATTTTCCTAAGCGTAGTGCTCTCTCTCGTATATATTTTTTTAATTAAGTCTGCAATTTTTTTTTGCTAGATAGTTTTATTGGTAGAAAATTAAGTGATTTTTTCACAAAATTATATCGACTTTGTATACATACTGTTTATTTAGGAATGCCTGTAATCTTTTTTTTATATAATCTAATTCAAAGATGAAGAAGAAAGAGGCTTTTAAATAATATATAAGGAAGGAAGGATTTAAGTATGTTATTCAGTTTTAATAAGATATTAAAAATCTATGATACATATTAGACATAAAGCATAAATCGTTTATGTACGTGTTCTTAAAGATCGCTATGACTACTTGGTGTAAGCTAGTTTCCAATTTCGAAAACAATGTTTATTTGAATAGAATGTCATTAAAATCTGGTCGTGTAATATCTTACTCTTGATCTTCCAATAACTTTGTGCCCGAGTTGCATTATATTTTACCTTCATAAAACGCATTTCCTTTCTCGGAAACAAATTATAAGTATAGCAAACTCATGATTACGATATCTAGAGGGATCGGGAGCGCTTCGGTAGTTAAAGTTTGCAAACCGGTCAATATTATGATTTATGCTCTTGGACTCGTTCGCGACTGTTTGCATGGCATTGCGCATCTATATGCATCGTATATCGTTGCGTTGCATCTTTGCTTAATACAGAAATGTAATTACTGATAGGTACTGTCTGAAAAATGTATTCTACGTAAATGTATAGCTTTCATTTACATTTAATTTAATAATAATCTATTCAGCACACAGTAATAGCACTGCGCGTGCAAATCCAATTGTATCGGATTAGTAGATATCATTTAACTAACCAATTAACAGTTAACCTGCACTTTAAAGGATAATTATAGGGAAATATAATAAGGCTTACAACCACGTTGATTACTTGCTTGATTTGCTATTCTTAGAGATGTATAATCCGTTATGTATTTATGGGTGTGTTTACAAAAGACGCCATTTTCCTACTATTAATTAGCATAATATAGTACTTACGATTCTTGAATTTTGTATTATGCGTAAAAGTCGCAATTCACATACAATGTTGAACTATGTCGACCTTGTCGAATTGATGCATAAATTATAGCTTGAGAAGCGACGCGAAAAATTCTCGACAATTCACGACCCCCTAAGGGTTTGTTAATTAAGTACAAATTTATTCAATTGTTTAGACTTTACCTAACCTTATATTTTTTTTAGATTATAATTTATGTCTGATTTAATCTGTCATTTTTTTATGTTAATTTTTTGTCCATGTTGATACATGAAAATCTTATTATAAATTGACCGAAAGACAAGAAGTACAGACTACCTAAATAAATATAGAACACCTGTATGAGATTAAAACCAACTTGCAATATTCACGTGGAACTTCCTGTAAAAACAGAGTACCTTGATAAGATGATAAGAAAAATAACACGTTACCAATTTCTGGTTGTATGCCACGATGCGTAGACGCAGATATCAGTTGTCTGGTTCAATTAACACTCACAGCACTCACAATAATTCATTTCACAATTTTGACATCGTACGCGCGTGAATTTAACGATGAGCGGTGCGCGCGCGACAGGTGCGTCCGTCGCAGCATCCACCGCTTGTGTGCTTCAGTTTACTGCATTAGACTGTGGCGACGATTAACCACGCCCCGTGCGTACGCGCACACCCTTGCGCGAATCTGAAACCTTCCTCAATAATATTTTCAGTGGTTTTCCAGTTCTTAATAAGCTTTCACTAGTGACGCGGTCCTGGAAACTCAAATATATTATGTTATTTTAAATATCAGCTTGTCGGTATTATTTATTTATTATATATATTTACATTCATAATCAGGCTATATATCTTGTAATGAGTTTATACTTTTGTTACGAAATTTACATGAATTTTGTAATGAAAATAAATTTAGTTATTTTTCTTATCCTTAACCTTATCGTTTTCATATCCAATACTAATATATTTAGTTATATGAATAATCATAAAGCAACTCGTATTAAATGGTATATAGTCCATACAAGTAACAGTCGTAAAGTTATGCTGAATCGAGTTTGACCATCGTGAGAAAACTGCCCATAATATCTACTCGGGTAATTGAATCTCCTGATTAGAAGCTAATTGAAAAATAAGAAATCTTTGTAATTGATTTATCTGTACAGTGAAACGTACAACGTGTCGTATATTAATTTGACTCAACATTATTGCGTGGCTCGTTAATATTATAAGTTTCAAATAATCATCCATCATCTCAATGAATATTGGCTCTACTGCTACTTGAAGTTACATAAAACTTTCACTCGTAGATTGAGTGTGACTGAAGATTTCGCGAGCATCAAAACTCGAAGTAAATTTCCCAACGCATGCGCATGCGCATGTATGATTTACGCCGCTGTCGGCTCTTGCGCGTATTTAGTAACCGAGTATTTGAGGAATCTTCGTTTCCTATATAAATCTCTTTTTATGGCAGTGTGGAAACGTTATAGCCAAATTGTATTATTTTACAATCGCCTTTCCTAGTTTCTCCTATGTAAATTAATTGATTGATGGAAGATATTCGGTAGTATAATTTATTGCTAGGCTCGTTAATATATTTTGCTGTCGGAGAAAAATTCAGTTTGGTGAAATAATTAACTAAGATACGAATCTTGAATGCATTTAAAGCAACTTATCTCAGCCCACTATATTTTCGTCACAACATGTTTGTGTTTGCTCAGATGGACTGATAAGCGCTTGTTATTAGAGATGAATCTTAAAATAGTGCTGCTGTTAAATTTTTTATCATCTATTACTTTCACAATGCGATTTCTTTTGATAAGAAAGGTATCCATACTCTATCACAACTTAAGTGATGGTCAACTTATTAATTTTCCTTAGGTTAAAAGTACGTGTAGTTACATAGCTATATGCGTATATAAATAACTATCTAACGATCTAGCAAACGTTCTTTTGCCATATTATGCGCGGGCCAGTCTGAAAACCAGCGCTGCTGAGTGTGACAAGCATTCAGCAGCATAGCTGAGACTGGTACCGATTGCCATCTCTTATATATTTATTACTATATTATTATTCTTTTTATGTACACATTTAGTTATAAGTTTGTAAATATATTTTATGGCAATAAACGTTTTGAATTTGAATTTATACGTATTACGACCAAAATTTGATTAGCACAAAAACGATTCTCGTAAGGTAATAAAGGATAGACACATCGCGGACATTTTTAGTAATTTCCCCGTTATTTCCACATATCCTCGCTCCTATTGGTCACAGCCCGATGTTTTATAGCCTAAATCTTCACTGATAGATGGTCCAACCAAGACATTTATAAATTGGAACCGCTAATTCCTGAGATTGGCGCGTTCAAACAAACAAACTGTTCAGCTTATTAATATAGCTTGTTTGTATTGATTTAATAAAACAGCCATATCGACGGGGCCTGCTAAGCAACCGATAGATTAATTCGTTAGTTAAAATAATTGAATATATTTCGCGTTTTGAACCGTTGATGTGTGTGTTTTACTTAATGCAGCATCACTTGTCATTCATTGTTATCATTCAACATTTCCACTTGGCAATCGTTCACAATGTGATCGTATTTCTTGTAATTATAATCCAATCAAGATTTTCGGCGACCGTAGCGCGTGTGCAGTGCCAAGCAGCGGACCGACTGGTTTTCTCGGTTTTATTGTGTCGGACGCGAAATCAGGTAGGTACGGCTCCTGCAAAAGACGGACCGACACCTGTCGTTATCCTCGAGGTCAAACTGGTGTATAATCAACATATAGCGCGCTAATGAGGCTTGAAAAGAAATTATGTCGTATTATTTCGTTGTTGCATTTACAACTTAATCACATACCTATAAGCTGGACTGATATTATATATATTCCTTTATTTCCTTTTTTTCGTAAAACGAAAGCATTGAGCAAAAAAACTTGTACTTTTAGAGGTTTCATGAGAAAATATTCGAAAGTAAGGGCTTTAAAAATAGGACGTATGTTATAGTTAGTTGTTTGTTGAACTTATTTCTTTAGGATTCTAGTTTATAAATACTATAATATAATATAAAATAGTTAAACATACAATTAAAGCTCTTTATTTATTAAATTACTTTTATTGCGCTGGCGTTTTCTAATAATTATATTTTCCCTCATAAAATATGTTTCTGCTTAACCTGTCGGATAATTGAATTAGAATATTTTGTTTCAATTGCAGCAAATTGAAAGCGCTCGTTAGAGGCCCATTTGTATCAATAGACGCCAGATTATAGATCGTATCTCTTGCGGTATCAAGATTTCCCGTCATTTGCGAATTCACGTTTTATCGCATTCAAGTTTATTCTAATTGCATACAATTACGTCATCCGCCTGATTAAAATGTAAGTTAGCTTAGCCTATTTGTCTTAACTAACACAGTATAAATACTAAACAATTCAAAGCTTTTAAAATAAATAAAACTTTTTAGATTTTTATTATTATTAAAAACAAATAAGTATATTTTAAACTGTAGAATAAAGTTTTTAAAATCGTGTTTTTCATTGTATAGTTATCTGATATAGTTCTATGAAAGTACACATTAAGCTTGATATAAACGATGAAAGCTTTGAAGAATATGCTGCAATTTGTAAGTTCACTCTAATTTATAAGTTGTATTAAATGTAACCCACTTTTCACTTTATAGTACGCTTCAACTATATCATGTTTTTATGGCGGCCATAAACTACGTTTCCCGATTGATATTGCGTTGCTTTAATGTTTGCATTTAGCTACAAAGTTTCATCCAACACAAAATAGTAACTTTGCTCTAGTACTATCTAAAAATGGCTTAATATGTATTTAATACTATCTGTAGTTTACGCGAGCACACATTTAAATAAGTCTCCCCGTGACCACGGCTGCTGCAAAGCCTCCGAACGTCGAAACGTCGGGCCGTAGTTAACAATAATTATCAAACAAGTTTAACTAAAATATATCGCGTTTTAAACGGTAAAAGTGTTTCATTTAAATTGATATGTATTATTTATGTACACAGTAGTTTTCAAAAGCTCCGGACAACTGTATCTCCGGGCCGTGCTATAAGACTCAAAAGATTATTACAAACACGTTGTTTCATGTAAAAAACTAATATTCAGTACCTACCTATTCAAGTGTCAAAGCAAATCATAAATGACAAGGATACTAATATAATATACTATGTACAGTAACTATCGATTGTAAAATACTATCTATTGGTCACGCATATTTTTAAAGACATCTATTTTTTTTCAGTACTGGCTCTTATAGGTATCGAAACCTTAAAATATTACCTACCTATAAATCAGTAAGTAAGAACGTAATATTTAATATGTTAACATTTAGATGATTATATAAATTATGAAATGATAAAACCATCGCATTATGTAGCTCGTCCGAACCAAATCTACTATCGTTAAATGTAAATTTAATTTACCCAAAACCCCATTTCGCGTTCTGTCCATGGAGTGATTCCCTAATAGTTGGACATGAATAGTAATTGTCACTACATGACCTTCTCGGCTTAATGAATCATGTGTATTTTAAGATGTAAACCGGCCAAGGCCCGACACATCTTAATGAGACACGGTTGTATAATTCATATCGATAGCTTGTGAAAGCATGCCTTTGTAATAATAATCAAGCAAATGCACTTCATGAAGCGTAGGTATTTTTTTTTAGCTTTTACTAACGTAGTTATTTTTTTTTATTACAGCTTTATTATTTATAATACACCACATAAGAAAAGTATAAAAAGAAATAATCTTACGTACTAACTAATGAATAAAAGGCGGCACTATCGCTAAGCAGCGATCTCTTCTAGGCAACCTGAAGTACAGGATTGAAATATTAAGTCGGTTGGTGTGAGGAGTAATAAAGTAAAAGATAGTATATGTTGATTTATCACAAAGAAGAAAACAATGTAGGTAAACCAATTAATAATAAATAAGTATTGTGGCAGGATTGTTGATGCAAATCCCGCCAGGTCCAACATTTTTATAATCAATTTATAATTTTCTGAAACATGTTCGACTTCTGGAATGCTGAATATTAAATACGTGGTAGAAATATCCATATTCCGCCCGGGTTACAAACCACTTCACAGATGAAAAACGGTGAAGTCTAATCGCTTTTCGATTACATTAGTGGATTTAAAGCCGAAATAGGTCGACCGCGCATCTTATTTAAATGTTATATGGCTGGTGTATTTCAACATCAAAAGAGCTCTATAATTAATAAAAAAATATAATTAAGCTGTATTCGAGAGCTTTCATTGCATAGTCTTTATAACACAACAATCATATTACCTTGCCAATATCCATGAATTAAAACCCTATCGGGCTCGAAGTCCCAGCCGTGGGAACTGCTTATAAGATCATTAAGAGGTATGAGGTAATATAAAAGTAGGTTGGGGACAAAAGTCTCATCGTTCGATAATAGACTTTAAATTGACACCCGTTATAATCTTGATGGTATTGTTATGGTAGTGACGTATAATTTGTATATACTCAAAGGAGAACATATAGATTTCTGTGATACAATTCCACGAAAGGGCAGGAAAGTATAAATTATACTTAAAGCCTGTCTATTAAGAAGTGTCACAAAATGATCGATGGCTGTCGATAATGCTGACGTGATATTGGCGTACGTCGTCCTGTGATAAATTAATTATTACTCTAGTAAATTACAACGAGTATAAAAACCATTGTCAGTACGTTTTTGTTAGTTTTTTACTTGTGCAATGTGCAAAACAAATCGACGGTTAAGACTGTATAGGCTTTAATTTCAATTAATAGTAAATAAAGATTTGACGAATAATTGAGAGTTCGTTGCCAAATTCCATGTATGGGCATATTAGTGGCTCGTTTGTGTAAGTGTGGCAATGTGTGGCTAATCGTCAATGAGTCGTGGCTTCAATATTTACCGGGTACAACATTTTTATCATAAAATCAAAAAAAAAAAAAAAACCGTTTTAGAAAGGTACAAACCTTCGATTTAATATTATTGTAGCACAGAATAATTTTCTGTAGTATAAATTTTACTTCTACTACTTGCTCCAGTTGCTGTCCCCATGAAGCTACCCTCGAAGTTCCAACTACATGTGAAGCGATATTACTTGTGACCCTCATCAATTGTGATCGCTGACCGCACGAGTTCCGCTATTAAAGTTCTTTGTTGCCTGTCTGCGGTTTGCGGTTGGACCTAGAACTCTCATGGTTTAGCTCCCCCGTTGAGGGTCAAAAGCTTTTATTAAAGCTATTGATACTTGTTGTTTACAAAATTGTGAATAGGAAATCGTAATTCATCGGAACGTGACGCTTGTTAAGTTGAAGGTTTCGTTTAGATTTACTTAAGGTACTTTATACAAATGATGCGTGATTTTTCATATTTGCCTTCTACAGTACAGTATAGTTCTAGACGACAAGCCTGTCAAGTCTTGGGTACCAATCCATGGGAAACCTAATAAACCTACCTTAGACTCCCTACCTCAACTCCTTGCCTGCAAAGAATAGCAATAAGTGCAACAGGCAGAAAAAGTCTTCCCATGCCCCACATCGGAAAAATGGGACACAATAAATCGTTCCCACTAAACAAATAGATAAATATTTCTAAATGCTTCGTAACTGCAAGATGTTTAATGTTATGGAGACTGTTATGTCCTTATTTTGCCATTTCCATTAAGAGAACTGTTAATAAAGTTGTAACCGACTGAGTGGTCGCTGGGCGCAATAATGTGAGATCTTCAGCTTGTAGTAGAATGCGATTAGATTGAGGGACATTAAAAATAATGGCTTCTCAACACACCATGTTGCACAGGCCATGTTGAACACTAGTCGCTGTTTATACCACGTGTTCGCCATAATTTTTTACTAGCGAACTTTTTGATAGAATTATGTTGTTTAAGTTTATACGGTAGTGCTTTTTGGTGTCAGAAATGAAGCTTAGGTGGAGAAAGTATATAGTAGTTTTGTTAAGTTTACGAGATATAATGAAAAAATTATAATTAAAAATGAAACCAATCGTTAACAATTAAAATCTGAATTCTTTTTTCTTTTAGGGTATTTCGAGTACCTAAAAAAAGATTTTAGAGGTTGGAGAGTAGAACCATATTTTTAGATTTACGTCGAGATATAACTTTAAAGATGTATCAAGTTAAAATGAAGCAATATAAATGCCATTTAATAACATTACTTTCTAAAAACACCATTGGAGCCTACACAACTATTGACACTTCATAGTAAATTATAAAATATGTTATTCACATTTAAATACGTCTAATAAAGCGGTCGCAATAATTTAATCGTTTCGTTAGATTGGGCCCACGCTGCCGTGTAAAAGCGCATGGCATTTGCATTTTTGAGAAAGGTACTGCGCGAGTCGTGATTGCTGTAGCCTTATGTTTTGAATTCCAATAATATACTGTCATATGCACTCCGTAGATAAGACAAGCATTCCACGAGCAATTTCGCGCAACCGGACAGACACCCTACCATGTTATTTGAAATATAAGTTTGATTAAGAAGGTATTGGAGACAATCAATTTGTGTTTTTTTTTATTTAATCGTGTTTCCATAGATTATTATTTTCTATAGGCGGCTTTCTTGTGGTGAAAAGAAATAGTATATTATTAATTGTCAGATATGTGCGATATTATTTATTCTTTACCGACAATAATTTTAAGCGTGACATACATATCTACACGTAGTGCGCAAGAACACATTTTGCTCACACTAAGGCTGAATTACGTACGTGACTACTCAATGAAAAATAACAATCGGTGTCAAATGGCCATTTGCTGTTACCCTAGTTCGCTCGCGATTTTGTGTTCGACACTTAATTCTTCGCGTTATTACGTATTATCCGTTCCTCCCACGTTATCGTCACGTTTTGCTTGTATCGCTTTACTCTTTTAACGTCCCAATGGTGGGCACTCTTTTCCCACAGAAATTGTTTAAAATCTTAGACCCACCACGCTGTTCAAAGTTTGCAATCCTAAAAAAATCCAACGTAGATATTGCGGATCGTCGCTGTGACCACAAACATTGATCCTGGTCTGCAAACCAGTTTAGGATCGCCTGAGGCGGCGACGTTCATTCAGCGCAGCGACGAACGCATGCGATGCGGAATTAATAATGAGATGCTTACTCAAAGAATTCATTAATTTAAAAAGTTTGTTTTTGTAATATTACATAAATTATTATTATGCCTATAATGCCTAGCTTACGTAGCTAATGGCTTTGTTAGTTTCAAAAACTTAACCTTTTGATTAAATTGGAAACTAATAAAATTACT